AACTTAAAAAGAACCAAACACATACCAATCATCAAAATGGTGACTTAAGGAACCGTGGCATTTGTTGTTTATTCCGGGTTGATTCAGTGGCTCAACAAGGTCAAATTCGTCCTACACAGCACCTTGGCTTTTCCTATTTGTGCATTTATTGCTTACAAAATGGCTACCACAGCCCTAGCCAGTTTGGCTTAGTGAACTGAAGAGCCTGGGTTCAATTCCGGTACCTTGGTTGCAGGCTCCATCCCTGGCCCGGGTCAGATGTGTGCGGGAGGCAACCAATGGATGTGTCTCTTTAACATGGATGTTTTTCTCTGTCTCTTCCCCTCCCTTCCACTCTCTCTAAAAATCAATGGAAAAATATCCTCGAGTGAGGATTAACAACCAAAATAAATAAATAAAAAATCCCACCAGGAGTTAAAAAAACAACAACAACACAAAAAACCCAAAATGGCAACCACATCAACACTACCCAAAGCAGAAAAAGTGCAAAAAGGCTATCTTGAAGTCCTCTCTCTTCAAGAAAAAATACAAAAGTGTCCCATGACACCCAGCAGACATCCTCTTACCTCATTGGTCAGGTCAGATCACATTCTCAATCACTGGCAAAAGAGAATGAGATTATTGTTGTTGGTAATGTTAACTCTGCGCCTGTTAAGAAGGGCTCCTGGTGGCTAATTGGGCTCAAATTTATAGAGCCTAGCAGCTGGCGCTAAACAGGGGTCTCTCATGCCATGCTTCAGGGAAAGCATGAACTGCCTGCCTACTGCACTGTGTTCTGACTAGCTGAGCTGACCCTTATAAAGGAATTCCTGGGATCGAATTTCTACCAATAGGAGCTGCACAGCTCTGTACTCATTTGTATCTTTATTGACTAATCAGAGTAGCTCCATTCTGACCAGTTAGGATGGTGCTATTGGGACCAATCATACAGTGAGGATTTGGAGTCCTTATTTGCATAGAAATGGGCCAATCAGTGGCTGAGGGTGGCCACTGTTCTCTATATAAATCCAGCTTCCACTCTGAGCATGGGTTTTGGTTTCTAGTTAGTGCTACGTTTACTTGGCCAGAGCCATAACACCAGAGCTGCCTCATGCCCAGCCCACCTCACCATTGAGATGTTTCACAACTGAGCCGTTTTCACTGAAGATGTCCTGTGGGTCCCTCTTTACCACCCCTCAAATTGGGGACTTTTGTTGGTGTTAAATTGGCAGTGATGACCTTTGGTTAACAGTTTAGAGAAATCTTGAATCATTTCCTAGGCCAGGAGAATCTCTGGCAAAATTTAGACTCCGGAAGCAAAAATGGATATGTTGAGTAGATGGCCAGCTGTGTGTGTCTCATCTGGTTCCCCCACCACATTAAGTGTTCATTCTTTCCTCTTTTATGGGCCTCAGCTGGGCTGAGGATTCAGCTGGAACAGCCACCTAACCCTCAGAAGGTTCACAGTCTGGTGTGGGTTAAGAATTTAAACAAATAATTATAACTAGATTCCTGAGGGCAGAGACCAGGTCTTTGTCAACAAACTTCGTAAGTGCATGTTGGGTGCCAGGTCATATTAGGTCTTGGAGAGGCAAAGATAAAGACTTAACTTCCTACCTTTAAAGAATTCAAAGTCTTTGAAAAAAACTAAGCAGGCAATCAGAGTACTAAGTGCTAAATTAGGGATAAACCTCAGGAGGAAGAGGAGCAGAGGAGGGACATAATGGAAGAGGGGAGGAGTATTCAGGAAAGGGTTTCAGAGGAGATACTAGTATTTAAGTTGTTCATAGGATGAGTCAGGATAAAGCAAAAGAAAAACTGGGGCCCTGACCAGTTTGGCTTAGTGGATGCAGCCGTGGGCAAACTACGGCCCGGGGGCCGGATCCGGCCGGTTTGATTCCGGTCAGGGGCATGTACGTTGGTTGTGGGCACATCCCCAGTGGGGGGTGTGCAGGAGGCAGCTGATCGATGTTTCTCTCTCATCTGCGTTTCTAACTCTCTCTCCCTCTCCCTTCCTCTCTGTAAAAAGTCAGTAAAATATATTTTAAAAAAGAAAAAGTGGGGGGGAAAATTCCAGGAGAGGAGAGCGTGCCCAAAGGTTAGGGAGCAAGAGGAACAGCTTCCCGTCTTGCGGTAGCAACAAGC